TTCGGAGAAAGACGACGGAAAAGAAATTGAGAGGAGAGAGAGAGTAAGGGGAGCAGTGAAGATACGAAAAAGAGTCAGAGTGGGGCCCAGTGTATACACATGGCAACTAATGAGTGGACCGCTGAAAATCCTACGTGGCACTAGTCAAGCACCCAATATTTTCTTGACCGTAGAGTGGAGACCCTGCTCCCGCGATGGATTTTTAGAGAAGTCATCTCCTTTAGCCTTCACTTGAATTTAATAATGAAAAAGTTCCAAGTAAGTTTCTAACAGATTTTCTTTTATGGTACACTTGAATTTCCTAATGACCACAATCACGATCACGACCATTGGAAAATGGAGAACTTTGGATGGAACTTGGTACTTCTCTCATTTTTCCTTCGTTACTAGTTGGAAATCTTTTTGATTGTAGCAAATATTATCCTACATTGCAGATGTGAAACAATGTGATGTCACAAATTAAATAAGCGGCCGAGCTTGCTAAGTTCTTTCTTGCTACAGCCGTACCTGATATAATTGATCAATTTGCTAACCTACCTTCTTGATGTTGTGGTCCTTTCTGTTGTTATTGGCATAGGAACAAAGTTTCCTACTGCTTTAACCAGCAAAGAGAGACATTTTACTATGTACTCTTTCACCTGGATTGAAATTTGCAATGCATTTGATGGAAGGAAGTGCAGATGGTGAAAGAGAAAAAAGGGTTTGTGATAGTACAATATCATATCATGTCACATTTAGAATTTCTAATGAAAAGTAAAATGTTAATCAATCTGCGGAAAAGAAAAATCAGTCTCTTCTTTTTAAATGATGACCCTCCAATCCAAGTAAATGCGGGAAAATAGGTGAAGACAGGAAGAAAGAAAAGAACAAAGTTATGCTTGCTTTCCGCTAGTGTATTTTTTGAACAGGTGGACAATAAATGAGGTTTGTTTCCGTGGTTCTGTTTCTTTCCTTTGACACCAACTACCTCCTTGAAATTTTTTGGGAAAATTATCAAAACAGTTATAAACTTATTACAATTATACCAATTCAGTCTTAAATTTTTTATATTTGTGTCAATTTAGTCAATTTGACCAATTTTGGCCGGCCGGTATTGACGTGGACATCGACCGTCCGGCCAATGCTGACGTGACAATTTTTTAAATATTTTTTTTCGTATTTTTTTTTTCTTTCTCTTTTTCTTTTCTTTTCCCATTTTTTATTCTTTTTCTTTCCCCTTTTTTCTCCCCCTTAATCTTCAACCTTTGGCTGACGAAGTCTGCTCCGCTGACCTACAAGGAAAGATTTGCTAGCTTGCAGAACCTAGTCCTTATTATGGTTAGTTTTGCATATGCTGTGGATTTTGAACTCATCTTTTCGGCTTCGTGATGCTAACTCTTTTTAGTTCCCTCTAGTTTGAACAAGACACTTGGTTAATACCAAAGGAAACATTGTGGTTCGGATACCATTCAAATGGAACTTTTGATACTATTTTGCCTGCACATGAGGTAATTGCTATGTTGCTTGGACGCATGATTAATATTTAGCAGTTCGTCATTGAATTACGATTTGTTGGGCTTTTTTCCCTCATCAAGAAACCTTCCAAATCTTGATGACAAATGAGATTAAAGTTTCTAAATCACCTTAGCAGTAGTACCTTGAATGCAGTTATCAGTGTCTTTAGCCACGAGAAGCTAGGTAAACTTTGGGTGATAGTGATGACCGCTATCAAGCAGCGGTAAAGTACTTATGCTAGATCAGGATAAAATCCCTGGTAACATTAATATTGACTTGGAATTAACTGTTTTTTTTAACCTTGTAAGGTGAACCAAGAAATAGAACAGAGTACAAGTGGCAACATTTTCTAAGCCTTACATATGAATGATTAACTATGTTGAAAGTGACACTGAGGATTATGAAAGCATTAACTTTACCGAGCTCTTCCTCTACAACCTTATGGCGTTGGAGGTGTATATCCATGACATGGTCCGCGAATTCATTTGGTAGTGATTTATGATTTTCATGATTGTTGAGCATTCGATTTTGAAAAGTCGATAATCTAAGGAAAATTGCATTTACATGAGAAAAATAGATGGAACAGAATGGGCGAAAGAACATATTGCGACATGGTGTTGTCATGGCTGAAAATTGTTCAAAAAGTCCTAGGCTTGTTGCACTTTTGCTAATTGAGTCCTAAACCTTTTCACGTTTTGTCAATTGAGTCTTAAGCCTTTTCAAGTTTTGTCAATTGAGTTTTAAACCTTTTCACGTTTTGCCAATTAAGTCCATTTAGCCAATTTAGGCCGAAAATTGCTGATGTGGATATCAGCCGTCCTACATGACATGGTCGATGTTGATGTGGACAATCTTTAATAATATTTTAATATTTTTAAAATTTTATTTATTGATTTTCTTTTTCTTTTTTTCATTTTCTTCTCTCTTCCTTCTTTTTTTTTTTTTTTTTATGCAAGGGCTGCGAAGCCTTGCCGGTCGCGGGGGAGGGTTGCGACCTTCACCCAGACAGTGGGCAAGGCGGCCTCGCTCGCTGCCGCGATGGCCTCGCCCATAGCTAGTGAGGGCCTGGTGACTCTCGCTGACCAGAGTTGTAAAAAAAAAAAAGAAAAGAAAAAAAAGAAATGACAAAGAAAATAAAAATTAACAAAAAGAATTCAAAAAAAATATTAAAATACTATTAAAAATTGTCTACGTCAGCACCGATTGTGCCGCGCAGGATGACCTGCGTCAACGTTAGAGAATTCTGGCTAAATTTGGCAGGATGGACTCAATTGGCAAAACATGAAAAATTTTAGAACTCAATTGGCAAAATTAAAAGGTTTGAGATTGAATTGGCAAAAGTGCAGTAGGTTTAAGACTTTTTGGATAATTTTCCTGCTGTCACGGTGGTGGAAGCTCATAATAACATGCTTTTACCCTTACTTGATGCTCCGATTTGCGTCCTTATACCCTTTGGACTGGATTGGATTGAAAAAAAGAGGAATGTATCTAATATATGCATTTCCTGCAGACCGAGCTTTACATCGAGGACTGGATTGGATTGAAGACCTTGGATGAAACTGCGAAAGTCAAATTCATCAACGTCTCTGTGAACCATCTCCAGATGTCTCTCGCTGACATGCAAAAATATATAATACCTTACTTGGTGGATGATGCAGCTTTAGCGAAGAACATGGCAACGGGAACGGCTTCTAGTAGCTGGACCCCATGGGTTCAGGGCTTGTATCGAAGAATGGCTAGGCTGTTCAAGGATCGGCCGCTGCTCCTCTGTGTGCGTTAGAGAGTGATGCATGTATTCCCAGCACGAACACGAAACACGAAGCGAAATGATTGTTTTTGGCATGAGTGGGTGATTGAATTTTTATAGGTTGATATGGTGATGCATTCTTGGCCTTGTGTACCTATTTGTTTGATGATGTTACTCACTGGATTGACTTATAGTTCTAATATTGTCGAATCGGAAATGAAGGATCTTGCATTAGCCATGACTCTTGCTCTTAATAGATGCTGAAACTGTTATGGTACTTCCTGCAGCTTTGCGCAACCATGCCATTAAAGAGCGACGCATAGAAGTCGAAGGCAAGTCACATTTCAACGGCAACTTCAACTCTATGCTAGTAAACGTCACATTCTTTGGCAAACCGTCGGCGGTGTACAGACCTCCACCCACGCCTAATTGTAACACTTAAAAGAAATTTGGAGTTGGTACAATATTCCTAACTTACTAACTTTTAATCTTGATCACTTGCAAACTTAAAAGGCGTTGGTAACTTACTAATTCATTTCACATTGGTATATTAATTACCATATCGATAACTTACTAACCTTTTTATCCAATCCACTTTTAAAATTTGGAAGTTGTTAATCTACTAATCAATTTGACGTTTGTAAGTTCATAACGTTGTCGGTAAATTATTAACCTTTACCTTGTCCACGTGTAAAGTTTAAAAGAAGTTGGTAACTTAGGAATCAATTTGGTGTTAGTAAATTCTTTACAATGCGGTTGACGTACTAACCAGTAACTTGATTTTGCGAATTTACATGATTAATTTTTTCAAACATCTACTGAGGTCGAAGAAAGTTCAAGGAATTTATGGAAATTGAAGTACGGCAATCAACGGAAGGAACAAATAAAACTCATTAATGCTATGAAGAGCATTTTTTTATTATTAAAATACACACAAAATCCAACACGCGAAAAAAAATACACACACACACAAAATCCAACACTTCCCTTGCAACCTCAAGATAATCACCAGACAAATACCGACTTAACCGCAACTGCTCAGCAACTCGACTCTTTATTTATTTGTTATTACTTTTATATTGATGAAAGGTCATGCTTTATTCCCGAGGACATGCCTCTTGACCACTTATGCGTGAGGGTTATGTTTTGAAAGTATTCGAGTCGTTGTTCTCGTTTCATTGTCTTAATTGTTTTATTCATTGACTATTACATACATTCCAACCGGTTAGTCTTTTCTTAGTTTGCGGACTAAAACAAGAAGATTAGAGTTTGTACATAGTATCATAACACAGAATATCCCAAGGAACCAACTGCATTTGGGATTACGTGTTCATTTGAAAAAAATCATTGTTATCAAGATTCTATTTTTCGCGCCTACTTAAATTTCTTTCTTCGCATTTTTCTAAGATCTCGTTCTCCGGGCACCATCATCATCAAACCCTCCTGCGGTGGCAGTGGCAGCAACCACCATCACCATCATATACCCCTACGTCTTCCCTTTTCTCTCCCATCCAGTTCGTTTTTTTTTTTGGCATTCTTATTTGTTTCGACATTTTCTCCTTACGATTACAAGTTCCTGCATTATGCTACATTGAATGTAGTTAGATTCTACACGTTGCACAATATCACTAGAGAAACTTCAGAATAACCATAACATATTTCTCCCCAGTACGAAGAAAAAGGGGAAAGCTAAATGGGGTGAAATGTAATGTTATATATCTATGTCAAGACACCAAAGACAGTCTAAATCGTGACATATTCCTATTGTATTTGCAAAGGTTGGGAGAAAATCATACAGAAGATACCAGAAGTGTTCAGAAAAGAAGACGATATGGGATGGACTCCTCTTCATTATGCCGCTTGCTTTGGCAATGTCAAAGCAGTTCGACTGCTCCTGCAACACGATACTTCAGTGGCATACTGCTCAGACAAAGAGGGGGAATCGGCTCTTCACATTGCAGCGTTTCGAGGCCACATCAAGGTCATTGACGAGCTTGTTAAATCCTGTCCTGATGCTTGTGACATGATAAACACCAAAAGGCAAACGGCTCTTCATGCAGCTGTTATTGGTGGAAAAACAAAGGTCGTCGAGCACATACTAGGGATGCCAAACCTAGAGGATCTTATCGACGAACAAGACACTGATGGAAACACGGCTCTGCATTTGGCTGTGCTTCATAAAAAATACCACATCACGGACATACTTGCAAAAGACAGGAGGGTGAACTGTTTTGCCACAAATAAGGAACATTTGACCGCCCTTGACATTTTTTTTGCTCGTGAGGAGGTATGCTTGTTTGAACACTATAGAGCCTGATTCGTTCACTCGCAGTGCGAGTAATTTCTCTTCAATATCGTTTAGAAACTGTGGCCCAAGTGATACTCATTTCACATGCAAACAACCTAAAAGTCTTTTTGCGTCCACTTTGTAGACAAATTGTAGCATAGATTGCTCTAGTAAGTGTGACCCACATTTGAAAAAGGGGCTCCGAGTGAAGGGACTTCATACTTCATATCTAACTATATTTAGTAAGAACGTTGGGTAGGATTGAACTTTGCGGTTGAGCCACATTATCACAAAGCCTCATACCCTCCCACTTCACTTAACATTAATTAGCATACTAACTATTAAATTAATTAGATAAAAATTAAAAAACTTTTTTTATCCCACTTAATCTATCATTATTGTTCCTATAACAAGACATCAAAATCAATTCACATAGCTTACTAATTTAAACGTTATTTGGTATATAGTCAATGAATCTAAATTCATGATTTGAAGTTTTATGGTTCTCTTATATGTATGAGTTGGTATATAATAGTATATAATGTTTTCATCTGTTATTAACCAAATGTATAGGGTCATATTGTTTTTTCAAAATACAAATTAATCTATAAATTGATGTCTACACAAAAATTATATAGTGACAAAGTAAAATGTGAATTTTTTTAGACTATTGAAAAAATTGATTAAGCCATATATACGAGTATTGGAAAAGTAACACAAAATTTGTAGATAAACAATTTTATTCAAATATTTCGTTTGATTCTATAACATAGTTATGAATTTACATTGTCATATTAAAATTTCTTTTTACAGAATAGTCATCTTGCCGGTAGTTCTTATTGCAAAAATGTTAAAAATAGAAGTCCCTTTAGAGCCAATTAATACTTAGAGTCTTAAACCATCTACCTCATTCCCACATGTAAAAGCCCCACTTAAAAACGGATTACATAAAGAAAAAACAAATATGGTATTAATAGCCAACAGTTAACTGCATATAATATAAAATAGTATAAAGCAATTTTAAGTTCGAATATTTTGTTTTATAAAAAATTATGAAGTAAATGTGGGGCATGTTTATCTTGAAACAAATGCAAAACTTTAGATGGTCGGGAGCTTCTTATGTTAGGGGATAAGGGAAAGGGGGGAAAAGAAAGAAAAGAAAAATGGAGAATAAATCCAGACTGTTTGGTGGCTCTTGTGCCTAAAATCCTTCTTTTTCCTTTCTGCCCCCATTCAAACAAGTTTTGAGATAAAAGAGACAACCTGCACTCTACCCAATTTGAGAAAAGGACTTCAAACAATTCCTAAATAATTTCACTTAGATATGGCATACCCGAAAGTGTAATTGTTGACCTCATTTAAAGGAGATGAATTGATTGATTAATATTGTTTTAGGACTCGGCCGGGAATTCTGTTTGTTATAGATGGATTTTGAGTGAGTAAAGTGAGGGTCTTGAAGTATTTTGCCGGGAAAGACCACGCGTTAATTGATACTTTCTGTACATTTTCAGGTCAAATTCAGATATTCTGTTTATCGTGCGTTGAGAGGATATCATGGATTCCCGGTTATACAAGACTGGGCTTCGGAATATGTCAAGACGAGGTTAGATAAGCAATCTTTTAAAGGTCAACCAGCTGGGTCTATAACCACGGGAAGTAATACTCCCAGCCAAGAAAATTCCGATTCGTCAATGAAAAGAGTTATCGACCTTGAAGTACTAGTGGCAGCGTTCATTGCTACAGCAACCTTCGCCGCGGCCTTCACGATGCCCGGAGGTTATATCAGTGATGGACCCAACCAAGGAATGGCGACTCTTGCTGGCAGGGCAGCTTTCACAACCTTTGTGATAACAAACACTATTGCGTTCAGTTTCTCCGCCACGGCATTGTTCTTACAATATGATACTTCTACGTTGAGCGATCGTAAAAGGGCGAGATTCACCGTCAGCGCCGGAACTTTCATTTACCTTGCGATGCTCGCAATGGTGCTAGCCTTTGCTTCTGGTACGTATGTAGTGTTGACCAGAACCACTGGGCTCGCAATCGTTCCTTGGGTTGTGTTTGGATGTGTGGGGAGTCATTACATCGTGGGTTTTATCCAAGATCCCAAAAATCGTGCGGGGACGTTGTATCTATATCCCTATATATTCCTCCCAGAGGGATGGCGTGAGTATGGGATACACTAAGAGAGCTGCTAATGGCTGGGCTGGCTTTATAGTCCCGTGAGCTTGTGCACGGGAGATTTTCTTTTTGCTCTGTCAGTCGTCAAGTTCGAGCACTTTTATGTCAGCTGTCCGATTTAAAACCTGTCAACGTTGAGACTTTTCGTGTATGTGAAGGACGCACAACTCGATTGCATCCCAGTTAACCAAATGAAAGTCAAGAGGGTTAGCATGCTTTTTTCACTCCGTGTCGCAGTGTTTTTGATCATAGTGTCCCTCATGTGGCGGTCAAACGTGCTCTCCCTCTTTTCTTGCTTTTTTCCTGGCAGGTATCACTTCCCTTTTACTGCTTATCACATTCTTTTTCTTCCTGGCCAGTCAAATGTGCTGTCCCTCTGGAAAAAAGGAATAGAGAGGGACGCTAAAGGCGTGGAAAGATATGAAAGAGGAAAGTGAGACCCGAGAGGAAAGAAAAGAAGGAAAGAAAATGAGGAACACCACATTTTAACTGAATAAAAAAAAAGAGACAAATGCTAAAAGGTGAGTCCCATAAGGGACAATATGATCTGAACACCATGATAGGGGAGTCTATAAGCCAAAGGAATGGAAAAAGCCCAACCCATAAATAAATATTGTTTCTATTATTATGTAAACAAAATACTAGTGTAGATGCGGCCTTCACTGCCACCACTAGCAATCTCATCAAAGAAAAGCCTTGCATTAGAGAGAGAATTTCGGTTAAAATTTGTTTCGATTTAGAATCTTTTGATACTTACTTGGTAGTGCGTAGTGCATTGCGGCATGTAGAGCTGTTAGTCCCTTAGGGCCCTTATAAGAAATTGACAATGGGAAAGCATTTAAAATTAGCTCAATGATATCTGAACGTCTTTGATGTGCTGCGAGATAAAGCGGGGACTCATTAACAGCATTAGTAATATTACACAGTTGAGGATCTTCTTCAATTAGCAACTTCAGCACCATATCATGGCCTCCTTTTACTGCATAGTGCATCGCAGTATCTTTATTCGAATTCGGCTTTCGAAGCATCTCTTTGCATGCGTCAACTTGTCCCTTTTCAGCTACCCAATACAATAATTTCGCTAGATTAGTAAAGACTCGAACCGCTCCCCTGCTTCCCACTTTAGCAGCAATGTGTAGGGGAGTGTCCCCTTTCTAGTTACCCTGCCAAAGAAGAGACGGTCCTGATGGACATTGAAGGAGATGTTCAATGAATTTTACCTGCCCATATTGAGCTGCAACGTGAAGAATGTTGTTATCCTTTGCGTTGTTTGGAGGAGAAGGTACTCTCCATCTCCCAAATTTAGGGAATGAAGGTTTCCATACTTTGCAGCCTCATACGCTTTAGGATGCATTCTTACTCTCTCCACACCATTCCGAGGACACAAAGTAGTTGCAAAGGAACTTACCAATATAAGCAATGGGTTCAAGTGAGAGGAATTTCATTGAGTTTCATAAGAGGACGGGGCTAAAGGAAGGATATTAGAGAGGAAATTTCATTGAGCTTCTCAAGATTACTAAAAATGAGACTATTATATGCATATAGATGGCCCATCAATAGTTCAGATAAAATCTAAAGGGAATTTATGGGGTTTAGTCTCCTCTGAATTTTCAGTTCTTCCACACGCAAATCTATAATGAGAACATGGAGTGACTCTTGTCGAAGGGGAAAAGGACAAGTACAAAAAAAAAAACAACAAAAAAAATGGCCAAGTCTCCCTGCAGCTTTATTTTATTTTATTTTGTCGGACTGTCTTCCACTTTTCATCAAAATCAGAAGCATTGCACGTGCTTGATTCGAACGTTCTTCTTGAAGAATCGAATCTGATAGAAATCATTTATTAAAGTAACCATAATCGCGGGCCCAATTGGAAGGACTTATTGTCTTATAATGTGCTCAATCTTTTTAAGCTGTAGTTTCCTTTTCTTTTTTTCCGTTTTTGACCGACAAGTCCTTTACTCTGTAGTCTTCATGGGCCTACTTCCTCGTTAATCATGGATTCTCATCATGTGACACTCGCTAGGCCAACCAAGTCTGGTCCCACTCTAAGATTTACATATATAAACTTCTATTGTGCACGGACATAGGTAAAAATCAGTCGATCCCCAATTTGAGTCCATTCAATGATCTCCTCTACTTCTATGATCCATTAAAAAATGTTGTAACTCATGTTCATAACGTTTCTATTGTAATGTTTATAGAAGATACTATAATGTATAAAAATTCACATCTATCATTTTTCTCACTAAATACTGTGTGCAAAAGCAGGGACTAGGATACTATGTCGAAGAGAGACATGACAAAAGCTAAATATTATTTTGAAAAAAAGAGAAGGAAAGACCGAAGCTGTTCTGCTTTGTCGGCGAGGGCCAGCGGCCCTTGTTGGGGTGTCGGTGAGGGCCGGCGACCCTTGGGTGAGGGCTTGCAGGCCCTCATCTACGTCACACAGTAGTCGCCACTGTGAAGATACATTCGTAAGACTATTCTTCTGATGTTCTGAACTTGAACCTCTGGATGACATTAGCTACGATTATGTCGTTCATGGAATTAGCAATTAGTGTCCTACCCATACCACATCGACATTATGTGTATGTAGAACTGAATTCTTAACAGCAAAACCGCATTGGCAATGGGTCGTTTGTTTTTAACTTAACCTTCATTTTTACTTATGTTGGTCTAGGCTTTCCTCCCACGTTGGTGCCATGATTAATTTTTTGTTAGTTCATCAGAAAGTGGATGTTGAATTTTAGACAATCACAAAAGAAATAACACACAAGAATTAACGAGGTTCAGCAATAAGCTTACGTCCTCGGACAAATCTCTCACGGTGTTTCTCTCCTTTTTGTCGTGAGTTTTGCTTTGCCATTATTCTTTCTTTTTATACAGAATTAGGTTGCTACAACAAAGGTAACAAGCAACCTGAAATAGGAAAACACTCCTAAATAGGCAGTAAGATAAAAAATACAATATTGACAATATCTCTTTTCCTAGAATAAGAGATCCAATCCCGCAACACTCCCCCTCAAGTTGGAGCGAAGACATTGTCAAATGTCAACTTGCTCACCATATCTTGGAATGCTCCTTTGGGAAGAGCTTTGGTGAAAATATCCGCAAGCTGATCTTCACTGCGAATGTAAGGAGTCTCAATTGTCTTATCTTGAACCTTCTCCCTCACGAAGTGACAATCCACCTCTATGTGTTTAGTCCTCTCATGAAAAACAGGATTAGAGGCAATGTGTGTTGCTGCTTGGTTGTCACAAAACAACTTTGTAGCTTTAGTCGTAGTCTCACATCCCAATTCCTGAAGCAATAATCGCAGCCATACAATTTCGGATGTTGTGGTAGCCATGGCCCTGTACTCGGCCTCTGCACTAGAACGAGCAACAACATTTTGCTTTTTGCTTTTCCAAGTAACAATATTTCCACCCACAAATGTGCAAAAACCTGTAGTAGATTTCCTATCCACAGGATTTCCAGCCCAGTCTGCATCAGTATACCCAACAATCTCTGTGTGACCATTATTCTTCATCAATATTCCTCTTCCTGGTGAAGCTTTTAAGTACCGAAGCAAGTGGTTTATCAATTCCATATGCCCCTATGTTGGATTCTGCATAAACTGACTCACATAACTGACAGAATAAGCAATATCAGGCCCAGTAATGGTTAAGTAAATTAGCCGTCCTACTAGTCGCTGAAATTGCCCAATATCCTGTAATGGTGTATTATTAGAAACAAACTTACTGCTATAATCCATAGGTATATTGGCCGGTTTGACTCCAAGCTTGCCAGTTTCCTTTAGCAAGTCAAGAACATATTTTCTTTGCGATAAGAATATTCCTCTGTGAGAACTTGCCACTTCAATACCCAAGAAATACTTCAATTTGCCAAGATCTTTAATATCAAATTCCTTGCTCAAATGAAGTTTGAGTGTTTCAATTCCAGATGAGTTACTACCAGTAATAACAATGTCATCGACATAAACCAGAATGACAACAATACCTTGATTGTCGGCTTTAGTAAACATCGACGAGTCTGCAGCACTTCTTTTGAAGCCGAACTTGATGAGTGCCGAACTGAGCTTACCGTACCAGGCTCTAGGCGACTGTTTAAGTCCATATAATGCTTTCTTTAATCTACACACAACTCCATCCTTATTTTGCAAGGGATGTCCTGGAGGAAGATCCATATACACTTCTTCTTCTAAATCTCCATGAAGGAAGGCATTTTTTACATCCATCTGAAACAAAGACCATCCACAATTAACAGCTACAGACAACAACACTCTTACCGTGTTCATTTTTACCACTGGTGCGAAGGTCTCTTTGTAGTCTATCCCATATGTCTGAGTGTATCCTTTGGCAACAAGGCGAGCTTTATATCTCTCAATAGAACCATCACTATTATACTTGATTCTGTAAATCCATCGACATCCAATAGTGTTTTTCTCCTTTGGCAATTGTACCAACTCCCAAGTGTGATTACGATCCAAGGCTTGAAGTTCATCTTTCATGGCGTCAATCCATACACCTTTATCCTTTGCTTCCAAGTAGCTAGTAGGTTCCTGTTGCTCCTCAATAGCAGATAAAAAACTGAAGTGGTTATGAGAAATTTTGTCATACCCAATAAATTTCTGGATAGGATGATGAACAGTGTAATAAGTGGAGAAATCTCGAAGACGTGTTGAAGGTCGAGTAACACGTGATGACCTTCGAAGTGAAATAGCTGTTGGCACCTCTTCTACTGCATTTTCATTCATTATACCCTCAGGAACAACTTCTGGATTAGCAGCTGGGAAGACATCACTATTAGCGGTGATATCAGAATCATGTGAGTGGTCATGAACCACTTCTGGGCATGAGCTTGCAGAACCTGTAGGACTCCTGACATATGGCGTCTCCTCGGGAGGTATTGGGACAGGAACAAAATCAAGAGAGAATTCTCTATAGTCATCAGTGTACTCCCCCTGAGTTTGGTTCCTGTCAGAGACGAACATGTGAGCTTCATCAAAAAATACATCACGAGAGATATATACTCGGTGGGTACTCGGGTCGTAACACCGGTAGCCTTTCTTGACGGAGGAATACCCAACAAACACACATTTCCTAGCACGAGGATCAAGTTTACCACTGGTTTGAGAATGAACATAGCAGATGCACCCAAATATCCTCAAATGAGAAAGGTCAAATTTCCGACCACGTAACACTGCCATAGGGGTCGTGTAGCCCAAAACCCGACTAGGGAGTCAGTTAATTAAGTAACAAGCCGTGAGAACAGCATCGGCCCAATAGGTTTTTGGCAAGTGACCAGAGAACAATAAAGCCCGAGTTACTTCAAGAATATGGTGATTTTTTCGTTCAGCAATGCCATTATGTTGAGGAGTACCAACACAGGAGGTCTGATGAAGGATGCCCAAGTTGTGTAAAAAATTTTGAAACTGTTGATTAGTATATTCAGTGCCATTGTCTGTACGGAGAACTTTCACAGCAGTATTAAATTGATTTTTTACCATGCTGCAAAATTCTTGAAAGACACGAAGAACTTCAGTCTTTGACTTAAGAATATAAAGCCAAGTAGCTCGAGATTTATCATCAATAAATGTGACAAAATAGTGAAAACCTTCCTTAGAAATAATAGGAGAACTCCAAACATCAGAATGTACTAAACCAAATAATTCAGTACATTTATTTGTGCTAAGAGAAAAAGGCAGTCTATGCTGCTTAGCAAAGTGACAGGGATCACAAGTGCTAGAATCATGACTGAGGGACAAGTCAAGAATACGGAGTACGCGATCGAGGGATGACCCATGCGCCAATGCCATAAGCGAGACGTGTCGGCAATGACCTTTACTTGCCATCGAAACCGGCAGGTGAGACTCCAACATGTACAACCCATTCTTCAGTGTGCCTTCACCAATCATCCTCTTGGTAGTGCGATCCTGGAAGAGCACCTTTTGCGGAGTAAAAATAACATTGCAATTCCACTGTTTAGCACACTTACTGACTGACATCAAATTAGATGATAATGTAGGGACCAATAAAGCCTCAGACTGTTTTGAAAAAAATTGGAGCTGTCCACTCCCCGTAGTAGGAACTTGCCCACCATTAGCAATAGTAATAGCAGGATGTAAGCTACTTGAAGTAATATTAGATAATACATAGGGAGAATGACACATGTGGTCTGTGGCCCCAGAATCAACTATAAACTGAGTGTGAGAAAGAGCAGAATTAGCATACACATTACCCGAAGCCTTAGCAAGATTTGCAGTGTTCGAGGTGGTAAAAGAAGCTTCTCCCTGACCATGGGTCTGAAGTAATTGCTGGACTTGAAGTGCAAGAGATTCCAACTGGGTCTGAAATTCTACCCCATTACTATGCACTGCAATCTGAGCATTCGGACCTCTGTCTTTGGCAGGACGAAGGTGTGGATAAAGAACCCAACAACGGTCTTTAGAGTGCCCATCACGATTACAGTGATCGCAATGAAAGCGAACTGATTTCTTGGATTTTCCCTTGGCAAAACGCACACTGGACACCAAAGCACTAGACTCACCTTGCTGATTTTTTGGTGCGGCACTAGTGGTGATTATAGCA